GCCTATACCATCCCAACCAAGCCAGCATCGGCCCCCCCCGTCACGTCTTCTGCAACACAAGTTCTATGCGCGCGCATTCATCCATCAAAAATCAGCAGTATTCAAGAATCCCGTGCAGAAAACGTGACGAAGAGCACACGCGCGCGTCGTCGCGCGCGCATGCCGGAATCTTTCAGAAACTCTCGGTGTCGTAAGGATTTCAAAATCGAGTGTCCAACAATCATGTACAAACACATGGTTTCGCAACACGGATGTTCAAAATAAAACGTGCGCGCACATCATTGCGAATGTAAAAAAAAACCATGGGAATTTTAACATGTTCAGAACATGCTGCCATACGTGCTTCGCGCGCGCATGTCGAAATCGTTCGAACGCCCTTGCGCGCGTGCCGTCGCGAGAATCCCTTGCAACAAATAGGACGAAGTGCACGCGCGCGCGGCGTCGACGATGGGTAGAATCACATGTAAATGCAATACGAAAAGGGGCGTCGATCATCCCCGTGGGGGGGGAGAGTCTTTATTTTTTTGTTGAAAAGATCTATGCGGTGCAATCTGTGTTGTACAGTCTAGGCGGCGACGGGGCGGCGACGGCGAGCACGGAGCGGCCGGACCGCCGGCCAGGCCCAGACGACGGGCAGCGACGATGCGGCGACGGGGCGACGACGGCGAGCTCGGAGCCGTCAGACCGCCAGCCAGGCCCAGAAAACGGGCGGAGACGATGTGGCGACGGGGCGGCGACGGCGAGCACGAAGCCGCCAGACTGCCAGCCAGGCCCAGTTTCGTAAGAAAGAAACGAAAATCGCTGAATGCAAGCATTGTTTGGGGAGCCTCTGTATGAAAAAAGCCTGGGTTGGCTTGGAAGGAGGGGAGGCCCGACAAATCTTCAGACGGATGGGGGGTACACTGCGGGTACGGCCAGGAAGAGTTGAAGGATGAAAAGGCCATTCGGTTGGTTGGACCATTGCGGGAAGAGAAGGTCCACGGGAGGAGTGAGAAGAGGCCCGGGAAGGGCCCCGAGAGGCCGAAAATAGCGAAAAACCTCCCGTCGTGATTTTTTCACGACGCGAGGAGGTCTGGGGGGATTGAGGGCACGGAGGAGTCTGGCTGAGGGAGGAATGGGCTGGCCTGGCAGCAGGGACGGGTCGGATAATGCGAATGGCTAGCTTGGGTGTAACCGGCGGGGGGGAGGAGAAGGCGCCAAGGGGCGGTGATGGAAGAGGAGGAGGAGGAGGAGGAGGAGGAGGAGGAGGAGGAGGAGGAGGAGGAGGAGGAGGAGGAGGAGAAGGAGGAGGGGGAGAAGGAGGAGGAGGAGGAGGAGGAGGAGGAGGAGAAGGAGGAGGAGGAGGAGGAGGAGGAGGAGGAGGGGGAGGAGGAGGGGGAGGAGGAGAAGGAGGAGGAGGAGGAGGAGGAGGCGCAGGGTTCGTGTGGCAGAAACGTTCTTTCCGATGCTGCTCTCTCCAGTGCATCCTCAGAGTGAGGGGGCCGAGCGGTTTTGCACCACTCCTGGGTGCGTGCCCGAAGTCGGCTCTCGCGGTACATCTTATAGTTGTTGTTGTTGCTTGTTTGCTGTTGTCGCCGTCCTCGCCCGCGGCTCGCCCGCGGCACACCCGCGACCCACCCGCGACCCACCCGCAATGCTTTCAAGAAAACTGGTCGCCTGCGGCGTGCTTCCCTAGAGCCGCTCAGACTGCCGACGACCCCGTCGCCCCCTCACTTTGATTCGCAACTGCAGGGGCTATGTCCTCGTCAACCTCGGCCCTCTCGTGTTTTGATGCAACACTCCCAGAGATCCGACGTCGTGTTTTTTTCAATACGGGGTCCCCGGAGGTCTCGACCCATTCCCCGGGACCAGCTTTTCGTCCTGAGTTGTTTTTTGGCGGTCCCGGGGCCCAGCGAGGGCCCCTCGAGGCCGAAAATCGCGAAAAACCTCCGTCCTGATTTTTTCAATGCGTTAGATCTCTGGGCTGGGGGGGAACGAAGAGAGCGGACATCTCGTGTTGCACCCCAGTCGCCACGGTCGAAGAGGACGAAGTAGTGGACGTAGCTGAAGCCCGCCCTGGGCCCCCTTCCCAGGACCAAGGAAGAGCGACACCACCACGCACCACTGCGAGGATCTAGGTGGAGGGGGGTCCTCCTGGTGGCGTGGTCCCCCTCCTCCTCCTCCTCCTCCTCCTCCTCCTGCTCCTCCTCCTCCTCCTCCTCTTCCTCCTGTTGGCGTGGTGCCCTGCCCACGCTCGAGGCACGCCCCATCCCCGACTCGAGAAGGCATCCTGGACCTCCTGCTTGGAAATGGCCCCCTCCTGGCGGTGGTGGCGTCGCTTTCCTGCCCTCTGGTTATGCGGCTCCCATCGTACTTAAGGACCACATCCCAGAAATCATTTCGAGCACCCGGAAAAGCGTCGTCGAAAGAGTGTCGAAATAGTGTCGAAACAGTGTCGGACGAGTGTCTCCCAGGGCCGGACACGTGAAAACCGTAAGTTTTGGGTACTTTTCTGGCGCTC